TTAAGGGGGCATGACCCCTAGACACATTTGACACCTCTGTAAGGAGTGTGTGGAAGCTCCTCGGAAGCTGGCAGCCTTTTAGCCCCAGGCTGTACCCCCTGGTAGAGCAATTCCTTGGTTTTGAGCAGGAAGGAAGCATTCCCAGGATTTGGGGAATCTGAGTGGTGGAGAAGGCACCTGGCTGAGATCCTCGTGTGATGATCTTGGGAGGAAGACCCTATGTAAGAACAAAATATAATTCTTTAGGATGCATTTCTGTGTTATTTTGTTTTTGAGATAGGGTCTTGCTTTATTGCCCAGGCTGGAGTGCAGGGGTGTCATCATAGTTCACTGCAGCCTCCAACTCCTGGGCTCAAGCGATTCTCCTGCCTCAGCCGCCCAGATGCTAGAATTATAGGTGTCCACCACCGTGCCTGGCTTAGGGTGTGTTTTTATGCATTTGTTGATTACAGGATTTCAGCAGAATAAGAAGATGGGGGCGTGGAGAGTATGCGACCCTAGCTTTTGGTGATTTGGTAGATTAACACTGATTTTGAGAAAATCTTGAATCTTCCTGGTGTGGGGGGGAAATAGGAGCCTAACAAAAGGCATGGCTAAAGTTGTCACAGCTTACTGGTAATGCACGTAAAGCTGTGACCGTCACGGGGTCTCAGGTCGTGCACAGCATCACTCAGGGTGGCTGTGACAGAACAGAGCAAGAGGGAAACCAGGCCGCACGGGATGAACAATCTCAGCTTCCAAATTATGACGCTGGCTTGCATCTTAGATAAAAATTAAGACACCTAGTCACTGATTTGTACCTAGTACAGAGCTAACCCTCCCTTCTCTGGCCCTTCCCTGTCCCTGATCCTTTGGGCACCACGTCCCTCCGCACATTGTCTCCCCAAGACCCTCTGGTCTTCCTTGCTGCTGCCAGTCATCCGTGCAGCTCCGGCCACAGGTGTCGTCCTGCTGGTCCTTACCTGTGAGCGCCCACGTCTTCTATTGTAGTTTCTCCTGGGGATCGTGTTAGGACACTCGCTCATGTTTCAGCAGGGGTACGTCACTGATCCCTGGAATAGATGAGCTGCAGAGTCGGTAATGCCAGGAGCCTCTTCCTCCCCGTGCTCTGCACTCTCTCTCACTCCCCTCCACAGTTAGTGTTTACAAGTCCAGTGCTGATGGCCCATCTCCTAATTGGCCGCTCCATGGTTATGTTTCTTGGGATAGTTTGGTCCACCTGGTCCCCTCTTAGAGGCGTTGTTGAAGAGGAAGAGTCTGCTTGGATGATGCTGCTTGGGCTGTGCCCTGGAGGTGGGGGGCAGCCCCTCTATTTTAGAGGTGAGGACAGTCTCCCACTGCTGGACGCTGAGGCCAAAGCTGAAGCTTTCCCTTCCAGGCTTTTCTACCACTGAGAAACTTGAGATCAGACAGGGCATGAGTGGCAGCCCCAAACCAGGTTGGATGAGCTCTAGCTTCCAGCCTGCTTCTACAAGGTGCCCCGCCGTCCCCTCCAGGGTGGCCCTCACTGGAGTGGCCCTCGCGTTAGCAGTGAAGCTTGTCAAAGGCAGGTCCCTCTGCAGGGATGACTATAATAAAAAAGCTGGGAAAACAGCAAGTATTAAGGAGCAGGTGGAGAAATTGAAACTTGCTTTGCTGGTGGAAATGTATAATGGACAACAGTCTGGCACAGGGGTGGGGGACCTGTGGCCTTCTAGGTCCTCAAGTGTGGCTTTTCAACTCAATCCAAATTTTATAGAACAAATCCTTTTATTGTTTTAAATATATTTTTGTTTGCCTTTTATATTTTTATTTAATTTTTAAAATAAACACATGTAAAATACTAAAGAATATGGCAGGTCTCAATGAAATCATGCTCTCAGATTGACTGGTGGAATTAGAACATATTAGTAATTGAGGAGGGCTAAGTTGATGGTGATGATTTTATTCCAATACACGCGATCATTCAGCCTTAGTTGTTTTTTTTCAACTCAGGTTTTAAAAAGAGGATTATTTAGGTTGATTAAAATACAGGTTCTTTTCCTACTTTTTAATCACATTAGCTTGTGAACTGTTTCCAGATGAAGAAATCCAGACCGTCGTTTGACAATTAGAGACACACTTTAGAGGTTCACGCGAGTCAGGATGGGGGTTTCCACACTTTATTTGTGTCAACTATTTATTTCTACCATGCTGAAACCAGATTATGCAGCTCGGATGTGTTTTAGCCGCATTTTGTAGCTAAATCAATATTTGTTAACTTTGTTAACTCACAAAGGAGGTTCACTGTTGCAGAAAGCCAGTGACGGAGACACGAGGATTGTTGTGGTTGGGGAAGAAAGGATTTATCAGCAAGGGGGCATCAGCTGGGAGGGGGGTGGCACAGCCTGCCTCAATGCCACCTCCCTGACCCACAGGTCAAGGGTTTTTCTGGAGGTGAGATGGATAATGCGGGACTGAACATCACTGCGTGTTTGGGGCGGAGTGCGGGGTGCACAAGCACAGTGAGAAATTATACTAGTACATCCCATGATCAAAAAGTGTCAGGTAAGTCCCTCCCAGGGAGGGGATTTTAGTAGCACAATGAGCTAGAGGTTAATATCGGTCATTCTTTCAACCTTATGCGCAGGTGGGGTGCAGGGAATGGGCTTCCAGGCAGGTCCTTGGGCATGATCTGGGGTGGGCAGCTTATGTTATCTTTTCTGGATAAACAGGTGGTGTAAGGCTTTGTGGTATCTGGTGGCTGCTATGAGATCCTGCATTTCTGGGAAGGAAACTCAGCAAGGAACGCATCAGTAGGACAGAAAGTTACAAAGTCTTGGGCAGCAGGTCTGGCCCAGTCAGCTAGGCTCTCTGTCAATTATTTTTACTGCCTACTTGGAAACAGCAGTTGCGAAGTTACTGGCGTTTGAGATAAAACTCTTGTCTCCAGCACCACCAATACAGGGCAGCCAGTTCTAGCCACAGTATGAACACTGAGCACTCATTCAAAGCATAAGGGAACTAAAAATACTATTAAAAAAAAAGTTTTCTTGCTTAGGGAGCCAGTTACAACTGGACCATGTAACTATCAACGTTAATTTCTACGATTATTGCATTTTGATGTCTCTCTAACTTTGCGTCTTTTCCTTCTGCAGAGAATTCTGCCAGATACCAGGAGAGATGGGGAACAGCAAAAGCTCCTCGGGGCAGAATTTTCGTTCCCAGTTTCTTCTTGAGGAACAGGCTGAGATAGACAAATTGTTTGCTGCCCTGTCATCCGATGAAAACAGCTCAAACACCTCATCCAAGTCCTTCTCTTTGAAGGCACTAAAGGCAAGAATAATAATCAGTAGCTAATGTTGAGTTGGGCACCAGAGGTCTGCAAACTCTGGCCCTTGGGCTGAAATGGGCTTTCCTATTTTTTTTTTTTTTTTAAGACGGTGTCTCACTCTGTTGCTCCAGGTTAGAGTGCTATGGTGTCAT